TCTGACACTTGCAGTGACCCACTCGCTTTCCAAAAATGGTGATGCCTTCCTGAAGCAGTGACACAGCTTTAAATACTCAGAAATCTGTCTGAAAACTCAGGGAAAAAAAAACAGAAAACTTCTCTGAGTGACCATGTGCAAACAGAGGCCAGCTTGACCTGTTTCTGCCTGTAGCAAGAATCTGATCTCCTTACACAAAATGAGGAGATTTACTACCGAATGTCTACAAGGCCTTTGGTTAGGGGACAAGGCATGATAATAGCCTGGCAGAATCAGGAGAAAGCAGTCTCAAGATCTCAACACCTTTATTTATTTATTGAGCTATCATAGTCCAATACAGCTTTTAAAAAAACTCTATTTTATATTGGAGTAGAGCCTTGGTTTCTAAGGCAAACCATTCAACATCACAGTAATCCAAGTCTATGCCCCAACTGTTAATGCCAAAGAAGCTGAAGCTGACTGGTTTTGTGAAGACCTACAAGACCTTCTAGTGTTAGTCACTCACTCATGTCTGACTCTTTGCAACCCCATGGACTGTAGCCCGCCAGGCTCCTCTGTCCATGGAATTCTCCAGGCAAGAATACTGGAGTGGGTTTCCATTCTCTTCTCCAGGGGTCTTCCAGACCCAGGGATCAAACCCAGGCCTCCTGCACTGCCGGCAGATTCTTTACTGTCTGAGCTACCAGGGAAGACTGACCTTTTAGAATGAACACCAGGAAAAAGATTAGGGGATTAGAGTGAAAAACTAGGAAGTCAAGAGATACTTGGAGTAATAGGCAAGTTTGGCCTTGGGGTACAAAATAAAGCAGGGCAAAGGCTAAGAGAATTTTGTCAAGAGAACACATCGGTCATAGCAAACATTCTTTTCCAACAACACAAGAAATGACTCTACACATGGACAGCAACAGAAGGTCAGTACCAAAATCAAATTGATTATATTCTTTACAGCCAAAGATGGAGAAGATCTATAGTCAGAAACACAAGACCTGGAGCTGACCATGGCTTATATCATAAGCTCTTTATTGCAAAATTCAGGCTTAAATTAGAGAAAGTAGGTTAAGTCACTAGGCCATATGGGTATGGTCTGAATCAAATACCTTATGTTTATACAGTGTAGGTGAAGAATAGATTCAGGGAATTAGATCTGTAGACAGAGTGCCTGAAGAACTACAGACAGAAGTTCATAACACTGTACAGGAGGAGATGACCAAAACTATCACCAAGGGAAAGAAAAGCAAGAAAGCAAAGTGGTTGTCCGAGGTGGCTTAACAAATAGTTGAGCAAAGAAGAGAAGTGAAACACAAGAGAGAAAGAGACACCTAATTGAATGCAGGGTTACAGAGAACAGCAAGGAGAGATAAGAAGGCCTTCTTAAAAGAACAATGTAAAGAAACAGAGGAAAACAATAGAATGGGAAAGACTAGAGATCTCTTCAAGAAAATTGCAGATATCAAGGGAATATTTCATGCGAGGATGGGCACGATAAAGGACAGAAATGGTATGGACCGAACAGAAGCAGAGATTAGGAAGAGGTGGCAAGAAAACACTATACAAAAAGGTCTCAGTGACCAGGATAACCACAATGGTACGGTCATTCACCTAGAGCCAGACATCCTGGAGTGTGAAGTCAAGTGGGCCTTAGGAAGCATTACTATGAGCAAAGCTAGTGGAGGTGATGGAATTCCAGCTGACCTATTTCAAATCCTAAAAGATGATGCTGTGAAAGTGCTGCACTCAATATGTCAGCAAATTTAGAAAACTCATCAGTGGCCACAGGACTGGAAAAGGTCAGTTTTCATTCCAATCCCAAAGAAGTACAGTGCCAAAGAATGTTCAAGGTACCACACAATTTTGCTCATTAAACATGCTAGTAAATTTATGCTCAAAATTCTTCAAGCTAGGCTTCAGTAGTATGTGAACTGAGAACTTTCAGATTTACAAGCTGGATTTAGAAAAGGGAGAGGAACCAGAGATCAACTTGCCAACATCCATTAGATCATAGACAAAGCAAAGGAGTCCCAGAAAAGCATCTACTTCTGCTTCATTGACTACACTAAAGTCTTTGGCTGTGGATCACAACAAACTGTGGAAAATTCTTAAAGAGATAGGAATACCACCTCACCTGTCTCCTGAGAAACCTGCATGCAGGTCAAGAAGCAATAGTTAGAACCGGACATGGAACAACAGACAGATTCCAAATTGGAAAAGGGTATGTTAAGGCTGTATATTGTCACCCTGCTTATTTAACTTATATGCAGAGTACATCATGCAGAATGCTGGGCTGGATGAAGGACAAGCTGGACTCAAGATTTCCAGAAGAAATATCAACAAGCTCAGATACACTAATGATACCACTCTAATGGCAGAAAGTGAAGAGGAACTAAAGAACCTCTTGATGAGGCTGAAAAAGAAGAGTGAAAAAGCTGGCTTGAAGCTCAACATTAAAAAATGAAGATCCTGGCATCCAGTCCCATCACTTCATGGCAAATGGAAGGGGAAAATACGAAAGCAGTGACAGGTTTCATTTTCTTGGGCTGCAAAATCGCTGAGGATGGTGACTATATCCATGAAATTAGAAGACACTTGCTTCTTGGAAGGAAAGTTTTGATGAACCTAGACAGTATATTAAAATCAGAGAGGCCATTCCAGATTCTTGGATGTAATTCCAAAAGGCAGGACAAAGAGAACAGATTAACTTGTGCACTTCTTTGCTTCCACTCCTCTTGGAGCCCTATTTGCCTTCTGTCTGACTCTTTCTAACTCTCCCACGGCGCCCCAAACTTAGGTTGAGATCTCTGTTTGGCTCAGTGCTCTGCCAATGACTCAGTCCATTCTTACTGAACGAATCAAGAGTTTTCGGGAATGGAGACTATGCGTAACTTCAAGCATGTATTCCCAAACCATCTCTTAGATTCTCTAGGAAATCAGTATCCATCCTGACACATTAAGCCTTGTGCCAGGAAGTATCTGGTATCCAAGTGTCCTGGATGAGAATCTCAGTCCCACCTGCTACTACCTGTGAGATCCTAGACAAAGCTAGTTAACTTCCATTTCAACATAAAGCAAGTTGGGTTGTTTGGAGGACCAATGAGACAGTGTCGCCAGTCACCCCAGCACAGGGTCTGGCTCCTGGGAAACACTTAATGATGTCAGCTACTCCTCTTTGCCATTACTGACCATTAGCTAGGGACCAGACACAGTCATTTGTTCAATAGAACCCATTTCTTATTAGAAATACAGTGATCCACTGCTAAATTTATTAAATGGAGAACCAACAAGGACCGTCTGAATAGCACAGGGGACTCTGCTCATCGTTATGGGGCAACCTGGATGGGAGGGGAGTTTGGGGGAGAATGGATACATGTGTCTGTATGACTGAGTCTCCTTGCTGTCCACCTGAATCTATCACAACATTGTTAATCAGCGATACTCCAATATAAAATAAAAAGTTTAAGAAACAAACAAACAGAAACAAATGCAGTGATTGGCAGACAGTTCTTCCCAAAAGTTCCATATGTTTCAAAGACATTGTCTTAAAGACTCTTCGAGAAAGAAGGATCAGCAGGGCCTTCCATGCCCACTGGGCAAAGCCAAGCAAGCTCAGAATCATGAGGCAGTGGAATCAGGGGAGTTGAGGCCTGAATCCGAGTCTTGGCTCAGCCACCAGCATGCCTCAAGGAATTCCGTCATATTTGTGAAAGAAAAGAGTTCAATGAAATAAACACTAAGGTCTTTCAGGTGTTATGACGGATCCTGGGGTTTCTGAGGAAGTCTAAAGTGGAGTTGCAGCATGAAGGCAGCCGTTCTAATTCCAGGAAGACTGTTCTTTGGCTCACGCCTTCTCCTTGGGAATCCTAAAGAAGCTGGGATAACAGTTGCCATAGCCGAGGACACGCCTCTTACTTTGTCTTGTCTGCCTGCCATGCTAACCGCAGGTTCCAGATTCCTGTAACAACTTAACTGCAAGGAATGTCCTCAATTCCCTTTCAGATGTCTGCTGATTTGGCAGAGATTGAGGCCAGAGGGCATCCAGATATATGATCAGGCAGCCAGCTAGAGAATGTGCCCCTTCATCTCAAAGTATGTCCTAGCCGTGACAGCAGAGACACTGGGGTTTGTTTGGGGGAACTTGAACAGGTTCCTTAACTCCTCTGTACTTGGGCTTTCTGACTATAAAATGGAAATGAACAATACCTATGGATGGGGTTGGAGTACTGAATATTCCCAGTGCAGAGTTAAGTAATGCATGAGTATTACATCTGCATGATCTAGATGGCTTCTTCCACATCTTAAATCTGATGATTCTATTAATAGAATTCAGTTTTATAGTTTAAAAAAAACCCTCTAGTTCTACTAAACTTCACTTGTACCACCATCCTACATTTTAAAGAGCAAAAGGATTTCATACGTTATTGGGGGTGCCTGCCAAGACTTTAGGACTCCTCCTTGGCTTGAAGGTCCCTGGACTGTTGCTGAGGGTGGACCAGTCATTTGCTCAATAGAACCCATTTCTTATTATGCACATAGTGATCCACTGCTATATTTATTAAGTGGATAACCGACAAGGACCTTTTGAATAGCACTGGGAACTCTGCTAAATGTTATGTGGCAGCCTGGCTGGGAGGGGAGTTTGGCGGAGAATACTTTCTTTCGGCATCCTTGTGACTTCTATTTCCCTGGCTTCCTTTCTTTTCTGCAGAGTTTTCACTTCAGAAAAGGGGAATCTTAAGAATAAACCATTTGGTTTACGTCTGCGGTATCAGGATATAACTGCACCCTGCCCCTCCCCCTTTCTTTTGATCTCAGCTGCAAATGGAAAATTGCCCAGTCCTGACCCACTGCTTGCCTCTCCTACTTCCTGGAAATGTCCTGGCTGCTTCACTTGCTCAGCACATTTAAGATTCCACTTCGTCATTCATTGAGGAGGATGCCGCCAGGGGCCAGCCTCACTCTCTCATGGACTCCACCCTCTCGGTTGTTCAATAAAAGGCAGGCAGGGCCACTGGAGGAGCAGAGAGGCTGAGACCAATCCAGAGACCAACAGCTCCCACGCTGAAGCTTGACTCCTCTCGCTGCAACATGAAGGTCTCCGCTGCCCTCCTGTGCCTGCTGCTCACAGTAGCTGCCTTCAGCACCGAGGTGCTCGCCCAGCCAGGTGAGCCCCCTTCTTCCCTCTGAAGCCCGTCGCCCCCTCTCTGGGTCACGATGGGCCAGCAGACCAGAAGGGTACCTGCATTCTCACTTTCACTACAAGATCAGGAAAGTCCGAGAGGCATAGGAGTGAGCTTGATCACACAGCTTCTCTTGGACGGTGCCTGGATGAGAATTCCAGCTGTGGACCTCAAATCCAGCTCCTTCCAGGATTCCGGCTCTGGAAACCTGAGCCCAGCGCATGTGCCCTGGCTCCTTCCAGCAGCATGTGGGGACTGGGATATAAGGAGAGGGGGTCTCTGGCAGAGTATATCCAGATATTACGGAGGCCGGAGGAGAAGATCCGAAATCTGGACTCCAGAGACTCAGTTTTGCAGAGAGAGTGGGTATCAGGGAAACTCACAACTTAGCATCCATTTCTTCTTACCTAAAGGGGACCCTTAGCTCACTTTGATAACTTGGATTATTTGCTCCTACTTACAGAATTTACCAAAATTGTCTAGTTTTAACAAAGCTCCCTTCCTTCAGTTCATTGTCAGTGCTATATGCCCATTTTAGGGCTGGGGAAACTGAGTCCATCTGATACTGTAGCTTTGAAGCACAAGCTGAAATATTAGGATTTAAAGGGTTCTCTCTGCACTCCTGATGCCCTTTTGCCTTCTCTTTACTCCTCTTTTCTGCTCTGATTGAGATCGGAAAGAACCTAGTCCATTCTAAAATGCTTTTTCTTTGTGGTTGTATTTCCAGATGCAATTAACTCCCAAGTCACCTGCTGCTATACATTCACCAATAAGAAGATTCCCAACCAGAGGCTGACGAGCTACAGAAGAGCCACCAGCAGCAAGTGTCCCAAAGAAGCTGTGATGTAAGTTGAGGACACCAGTCCTCCAGGGGTCCAGTTCTTCCTCAGGGTGCAAGGGGCAAGGCTCACACAAACGTGACGTCAGAGAGTTACATCATCTAATCCAATATCCAAAAGTGCCCCCCAACATCACGCTCCCTCTGGGTGCTCATTCAGGCCATCCCAGTTTCTTTAGCCTGAAGTCAGGATGGTTTCAACTGGGACATCTATTATGATCAACTTGCCATGGGCTCCCTCCTTCCACCTGCTTTCCTCCTTGAGTTCCCATGGCAGATTTGGGGCAAATCGGCTACATTTGTAGGCTGAGATTTCAATGGAACTCCATCTAACCTTACCCTCTCTCTCTCCTCTGCAGTTTCAAGACCATCCTGGGCAAGGAGATATGTGCAGACCCCAAGCAGAAATGGGTCCAGGACTCCATAAACCATCTCAACAAGAAAAACCAAACTCCGAAGCTTTGAACACTCATTCCACAACCCAAGAATCTGAAGACAATTTGTGTTCTGGCTTTCCCTAACTGCCCTCTGATATTACCTTATTATAATTTTAAAGAGTATGAACTTTATTGATATGAAACATGATGCCTTAAGTAATGTTAATCTTATTTAAGTTATTGATGCTTTAAGTTTATCTTCCATGACTACTAGTGTTTTTTTGTTTTTGTTTTCTTTTTGGTTGTTTGTTTGTTTTTATGGAGATTTGAGCAAATTTCTTTCCTCTGTGAATCTCAATTCTACCCCTGGGATGGTGGAAGAGTCCTCACAAGAATGATTAATGCAAGAACTTTTGGTTTTACATTCTAAGTCATTGCTAAAACTGCTATTGTGGAAATATATATTATGTAACTATTGAAAAAATACACATATATATTTTTGTACAAAACCTGACTGTTGGCCTTTTCTTGAAGGAAACTTAAAAACTGAGTATAATCTTGGTTGATGGGGGAGGAGCAGGGTTTCAAAGTGTGAGGCTCATGTTTGGGAAGAATAAGAATGTGAACTGGCTGTGGTCCGTTTCACCAGGTGAGCTCATCTGAGTTCCTACAGAAGAATTTTTAAGGCAGGACGCAATCAGGCATTTCATCACTGTCATGCCAACATCATCTGCCCCAATCCCAGTGACCCTTGTCCCCTGTGTAGCAGCAGCCAGCTCACCACCATTGTTGTCTTCGCAGCCCTCACCCTCTCTCACAATCTATTGCAACTTCCCCCTAACTCGGTTACTTTCCCTTAATTTCTCCCCCTCCAATTAATCCTCCAACCTGGAGTTATACACACACTGGAGGCACTGGGAAACGACCATTGCTAAGATAAATTAAGAAGATATGACTCAGACTTTGCCATCCAATGCAGGGGCTGCAAGTTCAATCCTTAGTTGGGGAGCTAATACCCCACACACCTCAAGGCCAAAAAAAAAAAAAAAAATTAAAAAAACAGAAGCAATGTTGTACCAAATTCAATAAAGACTTTAAAAATGGTCTACTTCAAAAAATCTTTAAAAAAAAGGAAGACATGACTTGAACTTATCTTTGATGATTGAATGAGACTTTTCTAGAGAACTTTCCAGATCATGAAGAAGAAGAGAGGGAATTCCCTAGTGGTTCAGTCATTAGGAGCCCATGCTTTTACTGCTGAGGGCCTGGGTTCAATCCCTGGTGGGGAAACGAAAATCCCACAAGCTACATGGGGTGAAAAGAAATAGAAAAAAAGAAAAAGGAAAAGGAAAAGAGTGAGAGCAAATACCTAGAGGTAAAAGTGATGTTGACGTGTCCATCAAAGAGGGAGAAAAACAATTAGATGGGAATTGAGGTCCGTGCCTTTCCAGTGATGGATAAGATGAGAAATAAAGCTTGAGAAGAGAGTTTTAAACATCAAGAGGGCAAGTTAGTATCCAACTTCGTAGGTTAAAAGGAGATGTTGGGAATAATTGGTCCAGTGAGAAAGGACATGCTCAGAGGTTCAGACATGAGTTTCAGTAAATGTAGCTCATGGGCTTCATGCAGACCTGGATAAGTAGCGACAAGAGAGAAGCTACTACTGCGGTCCAGGCAAAAAGTGGCAAATGTCTGAATACGCAGTCTAAGAGGTAACACTGGAAGCATGAGCTGGGCAGAGTGAAAGGCTGGGTGTTTAGATGGAGCAGAAGGACCGTGGCTTAAGAGGAAGTCCCTTCTACAACCCACATTTTAAGGGGACAGCTAGTCTGAAACCAGAATGCATTGCTCCCCACCACTATGTCCCAGTCCCAACTCCAGGAACCTGCAAACATCCAGTTAGACGGATGAGCCTCTTTTTCCTGAGTGCCCACCTAAGGTGTCTATTCTCTTGCATGGCATTTAATCTCCTTGTGAGGCATTAGACCCACGTAGACACAGACAGCTCCTCCACTAAAGAAAGTGGATATCTTGCCCTATTGAATAAACCTTCAAGTTGAAATTGCAGATTCCCAGGCCACTCTGGTGGGGAGATGGGTGGTGTATCAAGTTAGATCAGGCAGTGCCTTTGGCAGCAGGGAGACCATTGACTGACAGAAGGACACTGGAGTCCTAATCCCAGAACTGTCACTGACTCTCACCTAGGGCAGGTTGAATATTCTGAGTCTCCATCAATAAAATGGGGATAATAGCGTACTGCTTCCCCAGTGGCTCCGTGGTAAAGAATCTGCCTGCCAATGCAGGAGATGCTTGTTCAATCCCTGGGTCGGAAAGATCCCCTGGAGAAGGAAATGGAAACCCACTGCAGTACTCTTGCTTGGAGAATCCCCTGAACAGAGGAGCCTGGTGGGCTACAGTCCATGGGGTCGCAAGAGTCAGACATGACTTAGTGACTAAACAACAAAACAACAATGATGTGTTACAAATAGAAACTCAGCAGAACCTCGGTTTGGGGATCCAGGAGTGTGTCTTTTGGAAAGCTCTCATTTCTACCACCTAGAGCGGAAGAGGAAGAGGGGATTCTGCTTTCAGACTTCTGAGCCTGTCCCGCAGACCCTGATTCTGGCTGAGGGATTCCATCAAAGTCCCAAGGGACGCTCCCCAAGTGCCCTGGGAGTCTATCAGTCAACAGACAATTCATTGGCAGCTATTAAAGGCACTCGTTGACCCTTGTGCCAGGTCCGACAGTCTCCCTTGCTCCTCCTTCCCTCCTCCAATCCTCAGCCTTGATCACTCGACTTCAGTGGATGCCAGGAGGCAAAAACAGAGTGAGTGCAAACAGAGGGGGCATCATCATCTAGCTTACAGAGCAACAGATCTTCTAATGTCAGGCAGATTTGAAGTGGAGGGTCTGCAACCACGGGAGGCTGAGAGAGAGGCCATGCATGTGCTTAAGTCCCCCAAATAATCTGTTCACATTTCCTTTTCAAGGCATATCTATTCACTTTCAGAAAACCTTGGGTCCATCTGTTTCAGCGCCAGCTAAGCATGGGATTCCTTGCTCCTTGCACAATGAATCTCTGAGCACAAAGCTCTGGCAAGAGATCCTGTTTTAGGAGTGAATGCCAAGTGTAGTGAATTCATATCCTGTAGCAGCCAGGGGTCTGTTCCAGGAAACCTAGGCTTTTCTTACCATTCTCAAAATTCTTCCAACCTTTTCTCATTGCCCCATTATAAAGCCACTGCTATATTTTCCAGTGTTTGCTCTAGCAGCACCCCTGGCTACCCAGGTGGCGTAGTGGTAAAGAACCTGCCTGCCAACGCAGATGTAAGACACTTGGGTTTGATCCCTGAGTCGGGAAGATCCCCTGGAGGGCACATGAACCCCCCTCCAGTATTCTTGCCTGGAGAATCCCCTTGGACAGAGGAGCCTGGTGGGCTATAGGGTTGCAAAGAATTGGACAGGACTGAAGCAACTTAGCATACACAATTGCCTAGCAGCACCCCACTTCCAGGTACCAAAATCTGTACTTGTTTCTTATTGCCACTGTAATAAATTAACATAAACTTTATGCCTTAAAACAACACAAATGCATTATCTTACAGTGCTGGAGATCGGACATTTAAAGTAGGTCCGGAGGGCTTCTAGAGGGCTTCCTTCTGAGGCTCTAGGGGACGATAGGCTTTCGCACCTTTTCCAATTTCTAATACTTATTTATTTATTTTTACTTAGGTATTAGGCATCTCGGTCTTAGTTGTCACAGCTGGGATCTTCAGTTGCAGCACCTTTTCTAACTTCTAGAGGTTTTCTGCATCCCTTAGCTTCTGACCCCCCTTCCTCCATTCATAGCAACTTTAAGCAGGGGTAAGGATGGAGTGCTATATGTCAAAGTTCACATATACTGTTGTAATTGTTGTTTAGTTGCTAAGTCATGTCCAACTTTTTTGTGACCCCATGAACTGCAGCCCGCCAGACTCTTCTGTCCATGGCATTTCCCAGGGAAGAATACTGGAGGGGGTTGCTATGTCCTTCCCCAGGGGATCTTCCCAACCCAGGGATGAAACTCGTGTCTACTGCCTTGGCAGGTGAGTTCTTTACCACAGAGCCACCAGGGAAAACCAGTATTGAAATTAAGATGGTGTTAACCTGAGCTAGGTGCTTACAGATGACAGTAATAACAGTAATCTTCGTTGTGCCCACTAAGACAATAACTCAAAAATATATAATAAAAGATAAAAGGAAATGAAATAGTACACTAGCAACTATGTAGCACACAAAAACAGTTTTAAAAGTAATAGAAAGAAGACTGAAGTCAGGAAGATGGCCAAATAAGATGTCTCTTGCTCACATATCCCCATCAACAAGTTTTGCACCCAGCCATGGACAAAAGTGCCTTTTTGGAGCTGTGAGATCCAGCACCATATGCCAAGCGACCTGGGAGGAGTCCTGCCCACCCATTCACCCATGCTAGGTCAAAAGCATACAGATCATGGTCCTGACTGTGAGATCTGCTGTAGCCTGTGAATTGGCACCTCATCTGTGGTTTGGAAGCCCTTGGAGAACAGTGTCTTAGACAGTCACCCATAGATGAGAGAGCCTTTGTGGAAGCCAAGTTTGTAGTGGAATAGTCCAGGTTTGCACACCACACAGTTGGAACAAAAAATTCAAGTGTGGATGCATTGGAGACAGTAGGAGGAGCAGTTTCACATAACGTGCATCACCCTTCCCCCAAAGAGGCACAGCTCAGTGCCAAGAGAAACCTTCTTGGCTGGCGTGATTATTCCTCCTGGGAGGCTGGTGACTGCGGGGTGGGAGGGAGGGAGTGGGAGTGTGACCTTCTCCAGTTTCCCAGCTATGTGGACACTGCTATGGAGACCCACTTCTTTCCTGCTCCACACAGAGTATTGAGTCCTGAACTGCATGACCAGGGGTTAAGAAGAGGTTGGGAAAGCAGCAGGTAGAACTTGGGGGGAGGGACTTCCCTGCTGGTTCAGTAGTTACGACTTCACCTTGCAACGCAGGGGGTGACAGTTCGATCCCTGGTCAGGGAGCTAAGAGCTCATATGCCTCCGGGCCAGAAAAAAAGCAAAACATAGAGCAGAAGCAACATTGCACCAAAAATTCAATAAAGACTAAAAAAACGGTCCACATCAAAAAATATTTTTAAAAAAGAATTTTGGGGAGGCATCAGAGGGAGGCGGATCCTAGTAATTGCATTGCAAACCCCAAAGATCTCAGCTGCAGATCCCTCTAAGTGGCCCGCATCACTACATGAGTCTCACCTACACCCATACCCATCCTGTGGCTGGTTCCCAGGGATGATTCCCGAAAATGACTATAGAGTGAGCTTCGGCAGACACCTAGTGAGCACACGCAGAAAACCCATCTTAATCTGCGCGCCAGGAAGTGACCTACCTCGGCTTTAGTTCTGCCCTTGAGAAAGCAAGCCAGGCTGTCAGCACTTGGCCTGGTGTGTTGCAGGCTTGAGAGGAGGCAAGCAAGTTGAAG